CCCTGTTAGCCCAAATCCAATTACCACAGCCACAAACCATGTAAGCCTTGCCATGGGACATAGTGGATCTATCTTACCTGCATGTCACTGTATACAGGCAGACACCCCAGAGCCAAATTTCTCTACACCCACCAACACATGAGATCCCAACCGTTTCGACGCTCCGAGCGGCTCCAAAGCCCGCTCGCTCGTCGACCGCCCGACGCTTCTCCAGACCATCCCCAAACCCGACCCCTCGGGGCCAAGAAGAAATCCGAGGGACCTGTCTCATGTGAACGCCTGTTTGGGACAGGTTCCCCTATAGAAGATCGCCCAAACCTCTTCGTGCCGGTCGACCGACGCGGAGCTGAACCAATCAAAGCAAGCGAGTGCTGAAGCTAGTCTAGAGCCAGTGCTCTTGCAACGGGTATGTACAAATCCTCTCCACATCCTCTGTATAAGCCCTGTCAGAGCTGGAATGGAATGAGCCCCACAGCGACCTGCCCAGTCCAGCGTCCGATCGGCCCAGTCCCCAGATCGCTGGGTTTGACGGTTCAAGCGATGAAAGCCATAAATCCTGAGGTTGTTTTTCCACATTGCTTTGTCTTTAAATGTCGTTATATAAATGATTTTACTGGTTGTTCTTCCACATTGCTTCGTTCTCTTTGGAGGGCTTCTGTACCTGTGGACAAAGAAAGAAACAAGGACTATATACCTGGATCAAATGAAGTAGATCACTCACGTTCACGTTCACTCTTCGCCTCTCTGCAAATCATGGGCTCCTCGCAGCTGTATAGTTCTTATCATCTCTTATCCTGAATAGAACGGACTTCCTGGCAGTGTTTGACCTAACGCAAAAAGGATGGTTGATGTCTCTTTTGCATGTGTGTTTTGTTCCCCCACATCCGCATCTACCTCCTGCCAAACCACTTAAAGCACATGTGTCACATGTGTCATTAACACGGACGGCAGGGCAGGTCGACGTGAACAGTCGCGTTCACGATCTGTACGGCGATCGTTACATCGCAATTCGGCTCAAGCTGGAAATCTAAGCTGCGTGTTCACATGAACACCGAGGGAGCCTCAAAAGCGCAATATCATCAGTATCAAGTGGCCAAATCAAAAAGCGATATATTCATCCAGATCCAATTCTGTTAAAAGGGGTCACTACCATGGGATCAAAAAGAAGCAGCAATGTGTCCTTTCGACGAGTCGCATGAAATCTCAAGCACCCCTTGGGGGGCCCCTTGGTTCTGTTCATGATGGGAAACAGAATGGCCCCTGACCAAAGGGACTCGGACTAGTCTAGTGGCCGGCATCAAACAACTTCAATTCTTCATGGGACAAACCAGTGTCTCCATGTCAAACACAATCAGTTATCAACTGTGTTCGCCTGCTAGACAGCAGGTCCACTATATATACTGCAGGTCAGTCTTCAGTACGTGCTCGCTGAGAATCCTGTGACCCACATTAGGAATCATGCCTTTTACGGTTGCAGCTCTTTAGCAAACTTGACCATCCCAGACTCTGTGACCCAGATTGGGCGTTTGGCCTTTGATGGTTGCAGCACTTTAGTGAACTTGACCATCCCGGACTCAGTGACCTACGTTGGGGCTTGTGCCTTTCGTGGTTGCAGCTCTTTGGAAAGCTTGACCATCCCGAACTCTGTGACTTACATTGGGAATGCTGCCTTTCGGAATTGCACCTCTTTAGGAAACGTTGCCATCCCTGACTCAGTGACCCACGTCGGGGAATGGGCCTTTGAGGGTTGTTTGGCGAACTTGACCATTCCAGACTCAGTTTAGCACACTGGGTCAGGTGCCTTTACGACGGGCCAAGTCGCAAAGCGCAGACGACGCAGCTGAAATTCAATATATAGCCTTGACGTTGAAGGAACTTAGTGTATACATGTACACCACCAATTACTCTTCAAAGAGGAAACAATAGTCAGGACAACCGGGACGAGCACGCGAGAGAAAGCTCATTGATTATACTCTGACTCAATAACACAGAAAGAGACACAGCCTTTGTGAAAACAGTTTCCTTTTCAAACAGGTGCTTTTCCAACCTGTCTAGCTGGGAGGCAGTGACGGGTTTCGGAGAAAAACCTCGCATGCCATCCATAAAATCAATTATGTATTTATATATGGCTGGATTACACATGTTTCTGGAATTCCTGTATCGAGTATGGACACCTTGGAGTTGCTCGAAGAACCTATTCTTTCTAAATTTAGATATTCCCCAATGGGGTATGTGTTAAGATATTGTCCGAAGAGGGAGTTCACCCCATGCGAGAGAACAAACTAGAACCAAAACCCCAAAGACCTGCCGCCCCATGGACACCTGAAATATCCTGAACTGCCAGGTCCCACAGTCCCAGTCCAAGTGGTCGTGTCGATGGGTCCTGTCGAGAGCTGTTGCAGGAAGATGATCAGACTCCGGTGTGATCTTTGCAATGAAGAAATTGACTCCATTTTTCGGGTCCCGAGGCCTCCTCCGGTGTCATCACGCAGGCGAGTCTGAATTACATGCACACCACCCAGCGGGACGAGCACGTCGAAATCGCAACTTCCATTGGTTCCAGGACAAGGAAGCTACTTAGACGGCTGGAAGATGTTTATGTGGCTATCGCCTTGAAAGTCATGCACCCAAATCCCATGCTAGCAGGTCCTGAGCAAAGTGGGAAGACACAACCACAGTGACTGTCTGATTCAAGTTGAGTTTTCTAGTACAAAACCCATCTTAGAAACTTGATATTTAGCTGCTTGACATCGTCATTGTCGGTCATCCGATCAGTGCCGTGACGGACCGACGACAGATGTTTGACCGCGGAACCAGTGGAGACTCTTTGAGCAGCCTCTGCAAGTTAGCCACTCGGTTTCCCGAAAGGATGACATATCAGTCTCTTCAAGAGAAGCCGGTTAGCTGAAGATGGGATGTGTACTGCAAAAGGGGGATATATACAACGCATAGGGTCCAAGACTGACATAGGGTTTATGATGGTTTATGCAAACTGTACGAAGCCTTTAGATGGTCGAAGCTCAATCTTTTCAATAGGCTGGAAGTGATCTGGAGAAACGACGACGACGACGTAACAGTCCTTTCATGGCACTAGACCCTCCAAGCATCTTGGACTCACTGGACCCTCCAAAGTGGAACATGGGACATGACCTGGAAAAACATCGTATACCAGGACCTTCAGTACGTGACCGAACTTGAGATCCTAGAATGAGGTCACGAATCGTCCCTAAAGAGGTCATGTATACAGACTCCAAACAGGTCACGTCCTGAAGGTCCTGGTAAACTGGCAATTGATTATACGACCGAGTTCTGAGGTGCGAACAGTTTTGTTCTCCATGTACAGGTCGAATCATCCTCGTACACGGTATATAGTTGGATTTGTAATCAACAATACCCAAACACGACCCATACTACCATATATGCCGATCAGTTGGGGTGGTGCCAGAGGGGTCTGTCTGGGGCGGCATATATGACAGACATGGAGTGTCTGGGATATATTTCATACCAAAAACCTCCAAGTTCCGGATCACGAAGCATCCAAATCGACGGGCTGTTCTGAACTTTGGAAGCAGCGGTGGGGAAAAACGCCTAGCTATGCAGGCGGATGACTTGGACACACCATTTTGGCCTCGAGATCCTTCCAAACTTGGGGCGGAACAGCAAAACACATCACAGAAACCCTTACTTATGCGTTGCAAGTAGGTGACTGGCTTGACCAATGGCTTAGGAAGTGCAACAAGAACCCCAAGTTACAACCTCTGATCTTGAATCGGAGACAGAACCCCTGACGGTTGCCGTACCTCTTTGGGAAACTGTTCTCAACGAGTTCTCGCGGCACTCGATTTGTCAGATGCCTCGAGCTGAACCTCAAGGGCTGGAAGCAGTGCTTTTGGGGAACAGGAGAGATCGGCCATTTCTTCAGGAACGGGGGCCATGGTGTTTTTGCAGGAGAGATCCTGCGTTGGTAGCGATTTTGGCGACTTTGAGTCATGTTTGTTAAAACAAAGCTTCCCAGAACGACCATTTCCTGCATCTGATCTGTTGTTGTCACTCGCCGACATGCAACCAGCTGAAAAACAAAATTACAAAGGAAACAGGAGCTCAAAGTTTTCTGGGTCTGGAGTGGTTCTGGTTTAAATAGTTGTTTTTAAATACTCCCTTGCAGAGGACCACATGGAACCCCAAAACCACTGGGTTGTAGAGGAACATTCCACCGGTCAATTCTCAGGTTCCATGTTAGTTTGCTTGGGGGTAGTTTACTTGATATGAACCGGTTGTTTGCACCGCCGGTGGCTTCCTAGGCTTCGCTCCTTCCCCCCCCCCTGATCTAGTCCAAAATCCAGACGAAGCCCGGTGCGAGACGAAGCCCAGACGGCAGCGAAAAAGGACAGTCTTCAACAGCCCAGAGTTTTGGAACAAGAATGCCACATTGATTCACCCTCTGGGGTGTGGAGACGATGTCCTGCCAACAGAGACGAGAAGAAGTGGACTGACACATCAGCCTTGAGATACTTGGTAAGCCTCCAATTGCAACAAATTGCAACAATGACAGGACAAAACAACAATTGCCACCAGGGGACAGTTGCACCATATATGTTGCACCTAGCTTCTACTGGTTGCTTGTCACGTGTCCCGAAGTGGGTGGTCCTTTCCACATATGCCTGGAAAAACGGGGTGCCTCGCTTCATTTGTAACAAGAGTAAGAACCAGAACAACAACATCAACAACAAGTCAACTGCAACATGTTGATACATCTGGGTCGCAGGATCTTGCAAATACCTTGCAATGGAGGATACTGCAAATGGATGCCTGCTAGCATTCATTTCCCTCCTAGGTATCTATATACATACCTGGAACCCATGTTACCTCTATTTTGATAGGAAAAAACAACACAGGTATTTCGGTGGTGGGTGGTCCAAAATAGCTCATTCATATATAGTCATATATGACCATCTTCTCACGGAGTCTTCCGTCCACTGAGACCAGCACGTCATTGACCGTCATGCGCTGAAAAAGACCGTCTCTACCTGGCATCGGATGGTCATCGGCCGAGAGTGGGCGGTCCACAGGTCGATCCGAACCTCCGTGGGTCGGCGAGTCGGCTCACCAGGGCCCAGTGGATGCTTCAGTTGCAGGCCTTTCCATCCATCCATCCATCCATCCATCCATCCATCCATCCATCTCAAAACATCGTGATTTGCATCGATTTGCTCTTTTGCCGACTGGCTGTTTCTGTAGGTGAACCATGGTGAAGCTGGGCTACACCCGTTGTTGTAGGGACGCCTGTCCCCCGCACATAATGAACCTCCCCCCCCGCCCCCGGCACTGGTCACCTCGAAGGGTGCTCGATCGAGCACCCGAAGCTTCCTGACCCTCAGTTCGTACTCCAGGTACTGGGCCGTTGGGTCCCAGGTAGCTCAAATAAGACTTACCACCCAGGCGTCCTGGCTCCCTGAGAGAGGTGGGAAAGGGAAACAGTACAAAGAACATCAAAGAACCATGTCCACACACCCATAGAACCATGTGAGGAAGGAAAGATACATCTAGCTTCATGCACGGACTGCACCGATGCATTCAGCTTGAGGGTGCATCCAAGTTCATTGACTATCTTTGAATTCTTTGAGACCATCATGATGTTTCTAAAGCATGGAGAAAAGCGTCCAGCGCTTTGCCCTCGTCGTGGACATGCCGTCTATACCGTCCAATTCGTCAGTCTAAATTACGTGTTCGATCGATCAAAGGTTGATCGACGTGACCCCCGAGGTTTTGTGTTGGACTTTTCCAGATTCGCATGGTTTCAACATGATCGTCGCATTTGACCGCTGCCATTTGATCGTCACCATGACCGTCTAGCGCTTCGCCGCCCCGCCTCCGGTGCGAAGCGTAAGCATTTGCCTTGGTGGTTGCTTTGTGCGCGCTGCGCGCCAGGAGGCGAAGCAAAGGACGGTCATGTTGCGGTGAGTTACACATGGACATGGCATGACACTTAGTGCTTAGCTCTGCATGACAGGTATAGAGGGAAGTGTCGGTCAAGTTGTGGTCTCATTCCACAGAGCTTGGGATACTTTTCCATCCTGCGATCGCAAATAGGAACTTGGGGGACCCAGTCTTTCAGTCTTTCCATGAGTGACTCAGTGACTGGAGGACAATTCGGATCCAGGATCCTGGGGTAGGTGCTTTTGCTGTAGCAGCTGTGTGGGGTACGAGTAACTTGTTAAGTAAAGGCCTATGCCATGTAACAGTGGACGCCCAGGACGCCATACCAGCATGCTCTCCCAGACGCCCTATCATCCGTCGGAGATCCATTCGGTCGTGCTGAGAGTCGACGCCCATCTCTTCATCAAGTCGACCAAGCATTCAAGGAGGACAAATTGAATTGGTCATCGGACCAAATGAGGAATGTGGATTGGTGAGATATTAATATGGTGAAGAAAGGGCATCAACCTCTGCATCGAAGAAGTATCGGGGTCAGGTTCTCTTGCAGGAACATGGCCGATGCAACTTCACACCCAGTTCATTCGGGGGGGGTTCGGTTCCAGAAAACTCTCGTTCGGTTCGGCTGAACGGCGCGGGGTCCCCTCCACGCCGGTCCCGCAGAGCCTTCTTTGGGCCGGGAATGCGCACACGCCTGGGATCGTCGGTGGTGGATGCTTCGGAGGAAGAGTGGAACCAGTGGTAGGATCGTCCGGAGATCATTGGATCCGGTGCGTTTTGGAAAAATTAAACAGGTGATGGTACTGTGGCGCGTTCCTTCAACAAAAACATCAAGACCTTTTCATTTAGGTGTGTCTTGTTTTGACAGCCGGATATCACAGTCTCTTACAAATTGACCAATTCACAAGACACGGGCATCGAAAGCGAGGGTGATATAATATTATTCTATATTGGAATCAAGGGTTCGCTTGACCTGTGCTACCATGAAAACCCTAAAAAAACAAAAAACATTGAGTCTTTGAAACAATCCTCGAAACAACAGCATGGATGATGCGTACCAGTGTGACATTGGAAGTTAAACAATTCACTTGATAGATGATCTTGCATGGTATCATGTCGCTGAAACTCCAGTGAGGTAAACCTGCAAACACCACAAACACCACTTGCACCTGCAGCTGCCCTCGCTTGGGATCGATCCTTAAGGGTTATGACCGCTTCTCTTTGCGATGCTTGATCCAAGACCCCTTTCTTCAAGTCCTTCCCCCCAATCCAAGCTCAATCAAAACATCATCAGAGGAACATGTCACTCCTGTCTTTGCTTCGTCTGCTCCCAGCTAAGAAACGGTCAAACATCACATTCCAGCACTCAAAATTGGATATGTCACATCCACCCCCTCCAGTTCAATTTACGCACAAATACTACAACGTGCCTCCAAGGACCACCCCAAACACCGGCACCGTCCCACGCGCTCGGCACTCTCGTCGGTGTCACCGAGCCGCTAGGGCGCTCTTGCGCGGGTGTCGGAGATCCGCTTCGCCTACGCACGCTCTTCCGCCGTGAACTGCGGTTCGGCGGCTCGGTAGTGCTCGGTTGGTGGGGCGGGGAGAGGGTATTGGGCTGTGTCGGTCTGGGTGACCAACGAACATGAACAGAGGTATTGGGATGTCAACCACTATAGGTTTGGTGGGGGAGGTTTTTACCCGCCATTTGCAGGCGGGGCTTTGGTTTGGCGAAGAAGAACGTCAGAATGCAAGATCAGCGCAGGCGTTGAATCGTATGCATGAACAAATGACGCCCATCAACATCGTTGATGTTCAAGTGTAAATGTCTTAAAATTTAAATGTCTATAAAACCCTGTGATCCTTCATCTTTGAATTGTAACCTCATTATACATTCGCCTGTGGGGAAAGATGATGTCAGTTACAACAAGATGTGAAACAAAACTATGTATACTTACTTGCCAGCTACACGCTTATGTCTCGTGTGCACCTAGGTACGTGGTGTCAGTATATACATACGCGCATATAGTGATTGGGTCCCCGCGCGTATCGTCTTCAACAGCTCTTCGGCAGCGTTCAGGTCTCTTGCGCCTTAAAAAACGCGCCGAACCGAGGACCGACGGTAACTCAGCGGGCTGTCGGCAACTCAGCAGAGCAGTTTCCGATGGCCAACGACACGTTTGCTCTAACGACGTGGCCAATCCTTTCAGTCACCACCTCGCCCCCTACCTCATCGTCTGCCGTTTTTGACGGAGCGTCCGTCTGTCTCACACCAGCAACGTCTCGGCGCCCGCCGTGAGATAGATGGTGACATACATGTACACGTATCTGAGCCTCATAGAGGCATCTGTGAGGCCTGTGTCAATACTGAGCCAAGAGTTTGCGTCGAAGGGACAGTTGTGCCTTCACGCCTTCACGCGACGCCCGTCCCGGCAGCGCTACACATGGTGCACATGGCGCTGGCCTCGCACAAACATGTTGACTTTCAAGGCTTCTCCAGGAGAAGCCGAAAGCCTTAGAGCTGGCCTTCCCTGTCACGCAAGTGTCCTTGGTGCCATTGACTTGAAACTTGAACTTGGGCTGACACTTGCGTTCAGGGATGTTCTCGCGCTGGAAAGCTGGATGTTCTTGCAAACCGGAACGTTTGTCTGGGAACAACTGGCTTGAATTTGGGCTGACTTCATTCAAAGTGTTCTGTACATCCATTGCTACCTTGAAACAGAAGGACACTGCTGAATTGATCTCATCTCATTGTTCTCTTCATCATATTATGTTCATCTGACATCTTTGACACGCCGGGCAGTGCGAGGCTTGGAAGACTGCGAAACGGTCAAGCCTCGCTTCATCTACTGCTTCATCCGGTCGGAAGTTGAAGACGAGAGGACGATAGGGCGGTGCAGCCGGAAGTTGGATTGGACTGTCTAGGACTAATAGATGAGAAGAACTAGAACTATTGTAATTTTGTTTTCTGTGTCTTGAAGCCTTGGTTGCGTTGCGATGTGAGCTTTGCAGCGACCTGATGATAATGCATCTGGCGCTGATGCAATTGAAGTCTGAAATTCCGCATCATGGAGTTCAGGAGGTGTTGGCTTTCATCTGCGCACAACAGCATGCATCATCAAAGCTAGAGTTCCTGCAGGCGAAGTCGTACCATTGCTGAGTGAGAAACACAAAGTAATAAACAGTGGCCAACAAGGAATTCTGTCCGTGCCATGTGAAGGTTTACACACCGTGTTGGTTCAAGGATGTTGTAACATAAACTGTACTTTGTGTAAAGACCGTCGGGGAGTGCAAACATCTTCACGCAAGTCCACCCATGTTCCACCATGCCCACCCATGTTCAACAGCTCATGCTCAACCAAGTTCAGCATGTCAACTGTTTAAAACGAGGTTAAACAATCAATGTTCAACCTTTTCCAAAAAGGATGCTCATACGTGGACGACAGCTGCTCACCGTATGAAGCTGTCTATGACGCATCAAAGACAGCTGCCAGTGTCCATGGCGGAGAGCCCTAAAGCGATAAGCTAGCTAGCTCGAGGTGGCTCCAATCATGTTTTAGCCACTGACCAAACCCATGACAAACGGCCACGAGTTCTTCAAGATCTCATAGAAACATCGCACACACACATTCATTGCTGAGTCTCATCGCATGAGCCAACCAACTTGAAGTGGATGAGTCGCATGGTCGATCATTTCATCTAGCGGTGAGTGCCAACTACAACCTTGTCGCCTCTGTTCATGGAGTGTCAGCGGACATTTCTTGGACAATCAATTCCAGGTCAAAGCAGGGTGGGAACCGCAGCCCCTCACACTTTACACGCATGTGATTATGGCCTACTCGAGAGAGCGAGAGAGAGAGGGAGAGAGCGAGAGAGGGAGAGGGAGAGGGAGAGAGAGGAGGGAGAGAGAG